TCCCAGCAGTCTTTAATAAAACAGCAGCTCCATGTCCATTTATTTAGGCTGATTTGGAATGTGGCATAAGACTAAATCCAAAAACTCCACTGCCTTAGTTCATGACTTGATTTGTGATGCCTCTAAAACTTAGGGAGAGGGCATGGGGAAAGAGAGTGGGGCAGAGTCACTGAAGATTTTACTGCCTGTGGGATGACCCTGACTGTAAGGATTGCTCTTTGCAGGACTGCCTGGGTCCAGAAGATCAAAGCGGCATCAGAGCAATACATTGAAACAGAGAAGAAGAAACGTGAAAAAGCTTATCAAGGTACCCTCCGAGTTCCGTATTTCCCTCTCATCCACTGGATACAGGGGCAGGGCATTTCCTGGAGGATGCCAGTGTCTCCGTCTTCAGATTTATTGCCAGTTCTTACAGTTCCAACCCATCTGTTTATTTCTGACCTCTTTGTTCCCAGCTCGTTCACAGAAAACCTCAGGAATAGGACGCTTGATGGTGCAAGTGATTGAAGCAACAGAACTAAAGGCCTGTAAGCCCAATGGTGAGTGAGGGAAACAGTCTCAGAGCACTTTTATTCCTGTAACGTTTGGAAAGGCTTGCTGAGAGAAGTTGGGAGACACTGTGGTTTGCCTACAGTTTCTGTATGAAATAGTCATTCTTTAGCTTCAGAGGACTGAGTGAAGAACCAGCTCTGCGCTGCTCTGGGATGTTGGGATTGCCTGATCCACATCTTCTGGCAGCAGCAGTGCTGCCAGATGGAGGCAGGCTCCAGATGGAGGAGGCAGTTCTGCACTGCAGAGGGGTTTCACTCCCTGTTCTGTCTTTAGGGAAGAGCAACCCCTACTGTGAGATCAGCATGGGCTCACAGAGCTACACCACTAGGACCCTGCAGGACACCCTGAACCCCAAGTGGAACTTCAACTGCCAGTTCTTCATCAAGGATCTGTATCAGGATGTCCTGTGTATCACCATGTTTGACAGGGATCAATTCTCACCTGATGGTAAGTGTGAATATTTAGGCAAAGAATGCTTTTTTGTTAGCTAAGGTACCCAGTTCCTCAGCAGCAGTTTCAAGAGTCTGTAGGTCTGACTTCTGCCTGACAAATGTTGGGTGAAACAATGCCTCAGTACTCAGGGTGTTCAATAGCCTTCTAGAGCCAGTAACTCTAGGCAGTCAGATTTGATCCCAGTCTGGCTTTTGTATCAGATACAGAATTATTTTCTTGTCAGACTGAGGAGACAGACAAGTTGAAAGCAGAAGTTCTACTCACAATAGGCACTCAAAAAAAAAGGTCCTGGGTTATATTTTCACAGGAACAGCTTGATCAGCTTTCTTGTTGCTTGGAAACTGAGCACGTTTTTGGCAGTCAGTTGCTTCTCATATTCTCTAACAGGTTAAGTGCTTTTTCAGGGCTCTGACACACAGTCAATTATTGCAAATTTGCAGGGAACTGCCTTGACCTGAGATGCCTGTTATGTAACCACAGCTCAGTCATTTCTCCTGTGAGTTAATATAAGTTTGGCTCAGCTGGACAGCTGAATCTTGTTTTTCGGTCCATGGTGAACCTTTTAATGCACACACACACACAAAGATGTCATGTAAGAAATAGCCACACAGAAGGTGTATGACTTCTGAATAGGACTGTAAACCTACTAGTAGAAGTAATTGTTGAAGGTCATTATTCTTGTGAAAAGCATGATATATAGGCATAATTAAAAGTTGCCTGAGCCAAAATAGTTGATTTTTTTATTGTCTTTGAGCACCTCAGCTGATTTGTAAACAAGTTCCATCACCTAACTCTGACCAACCAGCTCTGAAACTGAAGAACACTTGAAATTGTGTTTCTGAAAGGCCATTTTCTAAGAGTATTTTTAAAGCTCTTAGCTCAAACTGTGACATCCTAATTCCATAGCACTGTTCTCTTCTAAAAAGGCCCTTTTTTGTCACTGCTGGCTGGTTTACACAGAGCTAGGGTCCAATCCAACTGGAAGCCTGGGAGCGGTGCTCTGGAACTAAGCATGTACCCCACAGCATTGCGTTAACCTGACTCACTCAGATTTTCTAAGGTCAGTATCTTTGCCTAATGAAATTTCTTACTCATTTGCCCAACAGATTTTTTGGGTCGCACTGAAGTTCCAGTAGCAAAAATCAGAACAGAACAAGAGACCAAAGGCCCCACAACTAAACACTTACTGCTGCATGAAGTTCCAACAGGAGAAGTGTGGGTGCGCTTTGACCTGCAGCTCTTTGATCAGAAAACACTCCTCTAAGAACGCTTTTGTTTTAATTTATGAAGGACAACTGAAGCTGGCAGCCTGAACGTCTTTTGGTGAAAGGTTCCTTGTCCCACGCTGGCTACTAAGGAAGAATTCCTGCTGCTTTTGTATTTCCTCTTAGTTCCTGGTTGTGCTTAGTTCCTTGCAGTGTTCCAAGTTGTTGTTGATCTATGCAAACACAAATACTGTAAATACAGTACTATAGATCAGTGCCTTTTTATTATGTTGGAATATCTTGGGTTTGGATGCCAATGTTTCCATTTTCAGGGCCATAAAAAGTATTACATAGAAATGTGGCACCAAGCTGTTTGTATATTTTACCACTTAGTCTGACAGACAGACTGAGGAATGGTTTAAGCTCAGCACTAGAATCATTCCATTTGAAATCTTAAAAGTGATATCCACTGGAATTTTCCCATCTCAGGATGATAGTTTAACGGTTAAATGCTGAAGAAGCCTTAGCACTTGAGAAGTCTCCAATATATTGTATATTCTTTTAAGAATCAAGTGTATTTCTTCACTTGACTTTAGTTCTGCACTGGAATCAGTAACTGCTACTTGATTTTTCTTTCTGCTTCTGTTTATCATTCTCTGCTGAGACAATGTGGTTGTGAAGAATAACTAGAAAAAAATATTTTAAATACTGTGACCCACAACAATGTGGCAAAATACTCTTCAGCTCTTTGGCTTTTCTCCTAAATATAAGTTATTTGTGTACATTTCCTTGGTCTTGCAGACCTCCATGTGAATCTTGAAGCTTTGACATTGCCAACATGTATATAGAGAGTAAAATATAAGTTTATTAATTTGTCTACAGATGTTTATTGATGCATAGTGATTTTTAAAAAGTATATTTTATTGTAAAGGGGAATGTGAAATAATTAGAAAAACTTATAGGATTTGTTCAAGGAAAGTTTATTACAAGTTTAAAGGGTTTGCTCTGGGGAACTCTCACCCCTATATAAAACTGTAAAATGAAGTGGCTGAAAGCAAAAACTTTCTCTTGGCACCAAATCAGGGATGGTTTAAAAAGAAATAAAAAAAGAACGTTTGTTTATAAATATTTGATACATTGTAACCATTTACTGCCTCCTTTAAACTGCTTTGTTGCAGAAGCAGAGCATGCAGTTCTGAGCAGCCTGTGCCCTTGTTTTCCATGGGTGCAGAAATTCGTCCTGAAGTCTGGCAGTTTCCCACCAGTCACCATCTGTGCACCCTCCTGTTACTGAGTCAACCTCTGTTACATTTAACAGTTTTCTGTGGTTCAGTATTTCTAATCCTAAATAAAACTCAACTCTTGGCAACTCTGGAGAGATTGTGTCTGTACAATGGGAGTTCACAGAAGAGAGAAAATTCTCTTTCCAAGCTTTGAGCCCAGAGCTGCTGAGCAGCCACACCAGCAGGGAGATGGGACTGCACTGGCACAGGAGAGGGACAGGTTTGACAGCACCAATTCTCCAAAAAGCACCAGATGTTTTGTACAATACTTGCCATCTCTTCCTGCCTTCTCAAAACACCTGTGATGCATGTTAAAAGTTTGATTTACTGCTTGGACACTGTCTCCAGGAGAGAACACCAGCACAGTCGTTATTGAGCTCAGCCCAAGTTAAACCTCCTAAAATAACAGGTTTTGGCCTGTAGAGCATTGAACTGGATCTGGCAAGAAGAGGAGCAGCATCTCAGACATTTCTTTGCCTGCTGGGTAACAACATTTCAGAACTGCATGTTTAAGACAGTAAGTTTATTGCAGTTTGCCCAAAGACCCAGCTTCTTCTCACTTGCTTTGGCAGTGCATGTAACCTATTTTGTAAAGAGTACCTTTGATGGCTGTGCTTGCTGCTGTGGTCAGCTGGAGGACAGGTGACATCATTGGCTCTCTCTGTCATTATGCTGATTGACGACTTCCATCCTTTAAAGAGAAGGAAAAACTGTTGCCATACTTCTGTAAAGATCAGCTGAGCTGTCAGATTATTTCCCTTTACACATCACACACTGAGCTTGCCTGGGAACTCTCCAACCCTCCTTAGACAGGACACCTTCTGTGCTGCCACAACGGATTTGAAATGAGGAAAACAAACCTCCCCCTGCCATTGCTACTGTGCCTCAAAAACTAGGCTTAGTATAGATCCAGACTGTGTTGCTGGTGAAAACCATGTTCAAACAACTCTTGGGCTTAAATGCAGTAGGAGTGAGTTTGTAAAATTCTAATATGCTCCTCTAGAGCAGCCCCCCAGCAGCACATCAGGAACATGCTCTATTAACTTCCTGCTGGTCAAAGTGGGACTCCAAACCTCCTCACACCTTCCAGTCGGTGCACGTCTTCTGGAAGAATGGGTCGTACTCTGATGGGTCATAATCATCCAAAAACACATAGCCCTGTGGGAGAAGCAGGTTCTGGGTCAGGTTTCAGAAGCTGTCGGTAGTTACAACAGTGAAAGCAGCCAGCCTGGGTCGGACAGAGCCAGGCATGGCATAACACAGCACCAGAGATGGTTGAAAAAAAGAATTCCCAAATTTTCATACACTGCACCTCAGAAAGAAAGTGACTGAACTGTAACAGGAAAATTCCTCTATCCATTTTAATTTATCACAGGCATAAATGCATAATAAATGATTTCATGAAGCATCCAGAAATAATTGCAGGCTAAAATGCTAACCTTAACTGGGACAGTCAAGACAATAGAATTTTTTTTTTTTTGAAAATGTTTTTCTAGAGAAGGAAACCCTGAGATTGGCTCAGTTGGTCAGAGCATGGTGCTAGCAACACCATGGTCGTGAGTTTGATCCCAGAATGGGCCACCCACTTTAAAGCTGGACTAGATGATCCTTCTGGGTCCCTTACAACTCAAAATATTCTGTCATTTCAGCAAAACAGATATTAAAAGGAAAGAAAAAACAGGAGCGAGTGAGCCCTCACTAGCCACAGCCTTAGGCAGGTCACTGATCTGCAAGATGCCAGCTCCAAGTCTGGGTTCATGAGCTGGCTTTTCCAGCTATAAATTGGAATAAAGACCTAAACCCACACCTGTCCAGGCCACAGCTCCATCTCTTCAACAGTGCTGCCACAGGTGAAGGAGAAGCCTGATAGCAAGGAAGAGAGTAAAAGAAAATGGGCAAAAAGAAGGGAGGGAAGGGAAAACACATCCAGAATTAACCACATTAACCCACCACAAGTGTCTCAAGTTCTGCAAAATGTATCATATACTGCCACAGTTAATTCAACTTATGAAGTAAGTAAGTTGTCCTGTAAATATGAAGGGCCTCAGCCTGCTCTTCAGACATGCTGGTGACAGACCTGACAGCACAGAGCAAGGAGGAAAGCTAGAAGCTGATCACTGGTGCTCCCCTTCAGGCAGAAGGACACATTCCAGTGCATCAGCCATTGCTTCTGGAGGGCACTCAGCAAATTCCTGACCTGGCACAGTGGCTTGCAAGATAGACTGATGCAGACCCAGATAGGTACAGTACACCCAACATAGCCTAAATCCCAGGACTTCAGCAGTAGGACTGGTTCAGTTCTGTGTCACTCCATGCAGTTTAAATGTATGGGTCTGCCACATCAGGCCTTTGAAAAAGATAGTTTGGTCTCTTTAATAAAAACAACACAGCTTCCATAATATTTTCATTTCTAGACAAGTAGCTTGTTTACAGTCTCACAACTCCAGTGAGACTCCACTGGTTTCCACTGACAACAACTGCCTGCTCTCATAAAGTATTATTTCTGTGGCAGATTACATAACTGCTTTTATTTTTCTTTTTTTTTCCTTGCTGAGATGCAGAAAGTTTAGTTGTTGGATCTGATAATCAAGAGAGGTGTGAAATGAAGAGCAAAAGGAAGAAAACTAACAAGTATTTTCTACAGTGACTATAATTTGCAATTTTTGTGAATACTGAAACACACAGAACTACAAAATCCATGAGCTGGGTCCATTATCTGCATGCAGACTTAACAAAATTGTTTGTATCTCCCTGTTCTCAAATTTTTCTTTTATGAGGCTTGATCAGTAGCATCCAAGGTCACAAAATCATTTCACTTATGCTCTGCTAGCAAAGTTGCAGTACTACTGTAGCTGAACTCCTGAGACATGAGAGTGCAGCCCGTACCCTGCTAACTCAGCCTTTGGTTTCAGCTGACAGAGCTCAAGGTTTTCCCACTAAATGGTCCAGCCCATGGAGGGAAACACACCTCAATAGGGTGTCTCATCATATTCAGACCCCTGCACGTGTTCACTGCACCAAGCAATGCTGCTGTTCACAGCTGCTGGTGAATGTACACAGTTGTAACATCACCACTTCTGAGGTCCTTGGGAAAAATAAGTTACAGACAAGGTATATCTGAACTCCAGGTTACTCAACCAACAGGAAATAACAGCTAAACCCTGATCTTGTCACAACCCTCTGTATACAACCCTCTCCATGACAGAAATGTGCTTCTCATTGATACCTTCTTTGTACAGTAGTTTAAATACTGAGATAATTGTTCTCGTCTCCTTTTCTGCATTTCTTCCTGTGACTGGCTGTCCATTCGGTCCTTCATTTTCTGCATAAATGGCTCTGAAACATCCTCAAGATATTTTTTGTACAGAAGCTCTTTCTTTCTCAGATTAAGGAAGTCACTGTGCCTCAAATATCTTCCCAGCTCCTTAAGCAAGAAATGGAAAATAAAAACCATATAAGCTATTGGCTGATGACAGTAAAGATTCCACAGGTGAAGGCCTGCACCTTGGCTGGCCTGACTGCTCACTGCTCCAAGGCATGTGCTTTCCAGCCCTTCCTTCTGCTCCTCCCTCTCTCCACTTCCCACCACTTGTTTCCAAGCTTGCCCTTTCAAGAGCTCTGGCATTCAGACCCTTAGTTTTCGAAGCTGTGGTGTAAGATTGGCAGAAAATGACTGATTTTCCTATCAGGTTATTGAGCTGAAATCCCTGCAGAGCAGGGAGATGTAAGCACCAGACTCTGCAAGACAGGCAGCAGAAGGACCTTCCCTGCCACACTGGCAATTTGCTGGATCAGATCAGAGCAGCCCTCCTGCCCTTCGCTCATAGCACCACTGTCACCACAGAACAAATATTAGGTGCAAACAGGCAGTTCAAGTCACCTGGGATTCACATTTAGGGTTACTACTTCAGTCCTATCCAGAGGAGATTGAAAAGATGAGAAGCTCATAAGTCAAAATTAGTTTTTCAAGAATACAGGCAATTAGCATTTTCTCATGAATCACTGTTTAGGAACTAAAAATATTGACATGCAGAAAAGCACACAGCAAATGAGAAAAGAGGTACCACTTCTTACCCTCACAAAATTTTCTCTGTCCAAGATGCACTGAACAGAAGCAATAATGTCTCGGCTTTGATCAGGTGCTGCCTAACAAAACATGAAAAAAGCCCACATGAGGTTGATGCCTTGACGAGCTGGAACAGAAGCTATACACAGAGTTAAGGGGAATAAAATGGGTATTTATCGAGAGGCCTACGATAAGCCTACAAAAGCCACACCCTAGCAGTATGAGTGCTACAGTTGTGACCCCTGCCTGGATGGCTGCAAGATGGTAGCAAAGGAGGGGTTGGTCACAAAATCTTACACTTTTATAGGTTTTGGTTCATTTGCATGAACCCACCCTCCACGTTTCCACGTTGTTTGTGCTTTGGGCCTGAAGTTTGGAGAAACTGTCCTTCAGTTCTTAATAGAACTGTTTTGTCTTCATCACCCTAGCACATCAGAAAAGCACATCCAAGGAGAATACGAAAACTTAAAACTAAAGGCATCAAGGTGAAAGAAGGACTCAGAGTAGGAGTTAGATTTACTTTTGAATTCAAAATAATTATCAGTGTCATGATTAAAGGCACATTATACCACAACCCAGATGGCAAATCCTTGCAAGCTTTGCTCTGAACAGTTGGGTTATGTAGCAACAGAATAGCATTGGAAGACTGGAATGAGAACTGGAATGCTCAGACCTCCTTGGCTGCTCCTCACCACGACCAAACATCACTTCCTGCTTGCCACTGTTTCTCACCTGTGCCAAACATGTGGCTCCTTAACTCCTGCACTCCAGATAAGGAGTACAGGCAACACAGACCAAATCTATAATTTGGTGATGGAATACATTTTATGCATAGAATGGAATATTAGCCTGCTACTCCCTGTGCTTAATATTGATTTTTAATTCCAATTGACAGTGTAGTTTTCAGTCATTTCTGCCTTGGCCCTGCTGACTAGCTCCACACTCAAAGGTTTATCACACTAAGATGAGCAGGACATCATACATCAGAGCAAGCAAGGAAGAGACAAGAAGTATTAAAAATTCCAACAAAAACAAATGAGAAAGAGGAAATCTAAAGTTCTGGTATGTTTTAAGACCCTTTCATCCTACTATTTGAAACAACTGGTATGTTGTATTATGGCTAATGAATGTACTTCACATAGTCACAGATCTTTTCCAAAGCCAGCACCGTAACAGCAGCACAAAGATGTGGCCATCACTCCAGCTCAGAACCATCACTGGTGAACTGGAGAAGACTTTTCCTTCAGGATGATACATATGTGAAGAATCCTTAAGAGCCAAAGGAGTTGGGTGTCCTTTGACTGAAGGAATGAAGTCTCTTCTCCCTGGAAAAGAGCAGGCCCAGGGGCAGCCTCATCACAGTACTACTTACAGGGCAGCTACAAAGAGGAGAGAGGCTCTCACTTCACCAGAAGCCAGAGCAAGAAGACAAAGGGGTAAGAGGTACAAGTTACACTGACAGAGGTTTCATCTCAATGTAAGACAGAATTTTTTACAATGAGTTCAGTCATTCACTCAACAACCTCCCAGGGATGTGGTGGAGTCCCCACCACTGAAGGTTTTCAAGGTGCAGTTGGACAGAAACTGGATACCCTCATCCGGTGTCCCTTTCCCATGAAAGGCTGGGCCAGATGATCTTCCAAGGTCCCTTCCAGCCTGGGTTATTCCATGAGTCTGTGAGTCTAAACTAGTCACAAGCTTGTTTCAGGTTTTATGGGAAACTTTTCCACACACCAAACTGCAAGTAATTCAATAAAGCTGCCCCAAAAGGATACAAGAACTCAATAAAACCCATTCAATCTGTTGCTATTTTCAAAATTATTTGTTCTCCTTCTCCATGGCAAACATCTCTCAAATTTTACTGAACTTTGTAAATAACAATTTTTCATTCTTCCCTTCATAACTTACACTTCATTCCTCCACCCACACCTTCACTCAACAGAAGCCCTTCCTTCTGTGTTAGCCAATCTTTGGCAATATTTTCCTTCCCAAAATGTCTGCTGCAATTAATTATGGGCTGTGCCACTCTGCTGGTGCTGAGGAGACTCTCTGGATAATGTAAAGAAAAGAAAAGGTCTGCATAAAAAAACAACCTGCTTTACAAAGATCAGGTTCTTATCCAGGTTCCCCAAACTGGGATGGAATGGTAAGAAGTAATACAACTTCAATACCCACTTCTGAATGTGCTGTGGAGGGACAGACTGAAGCACAAAGCTCCTGCTCAGAGCTCACAGGTGAGTTCAGGCACATGCCAGGGATGGAAGTCTGGGAGCACAGACAGACCAGAAAACACTGCCAGGATTTCAGTGGGATTGGGTGGCCAGCTCCAATACAGGACCCAGGTACAGACACTGCTCTCCTGTGTTCTTCACAGAAGAACCTATGGCTGAGGAATGCTGGGGGTCACTCACCTTCCAAGGCTGCTGCCCCTTGGGTTTTCTCACAGGTCTCCCATTTGCAAATCTTTGTAGCCAGGGACCCTCTGAGCTATTCACACTCCCCATGGT